AATATTTTCTGTAATTTGAAAAACAGTGAGGGACTATATTTTATCAGGAAGAATAAATTTATTTAGTACTATTTATATTTCCTAAGCAATTAACAGTTTGAAAATTTTTTAAGTATACTAACCTATAAAAAATATGAGGTGTTTCGTAAATTTCATATCATAATTTTATTGATAGAATAATTTAGAAAACATTATCAAAGAGTATAAAAGACAATGTAAAGAAGATTGCAAATCATTTAGTATAATTATCAGATAAACATAGAAATTAACGGAAGAAATGGATGTTAAATTTTATCAAAAAGTCACATGACCAAATAGGCATAAAGAAGTATAAAGGGAAAAAACTAAAAAACAAATATGCTAGATATAAACTGGTTGAATGAATATCACTATTATTTGAAAATTGTCCTAACGTAGGAATGTTTGGATATTATGTACCAGCTACCCCTATGAAACGGAAAAAGCAGAATATTTTGTATGATAATATTGACAATTATAAATAAACGAAAAAAAAAATTTGTAATAAAAAGGAATGGAAATTATATTTAAAATTCCTTACACATATCAAACTTATCCACTTGAATTATTATGGTAGTTGTGGAACTTGTAGTGTATATAAAAATATGGAATAAAATTGGAAATTTTATTTTTAATTCTTAAGAAAAATTTGACACACTTGATCTTTTTACTATTTTAAAGCAATGTAAATAGTTAAGTTCAGACTAATGTAAAGCAGGGTTCAGGGTGCAAAAACTGAAAAACATGGATATATAGAATTTCACATTAAAAAGTTAGTATCATGTTGAGTCAAATGATTGCACAGAACGTTATTCAGTTTCCCCATTTAATATATCAAGCGAATCAGTGGATGATGATTTAGAATTATAGTAGAACATCGTAATATATTTAATTAATATCATTCTCATAGCTTTGTCTTGGTTGCATCAATATTAGGAAAATTTATATTCTTATAACTTTTCTGTCGTGTAAATACATATTATAATAAATATATATATTACTTATCTTAATAATGTATTTATGTTAATATATATTAAATAATTATATTCTTCTCCTTGTATATATCGGTAAACCTTATACCTATGAACGTAATATAAAGTGAAAATAAATAAGAAAAGGTAAAATAAAAACCCAAATTATGTCTTTGAGTAGGAAATAAATTTATATGAGCCTTAATCTGAGCTCATAGATTGCACAGGGGACAGTTATATAGAACAGTTTATACTTCACGAAATTATTTCCATCAACTATGTCCTAAAGATAGAATTATTTAGGAGGTTAATATCAGTAATGAAAAAAAATAGAACAATTACCTGAAAACCTATGAACATGAGACAAAAAACGAAAAAAATATGAAATGTAGGCATAGAAAATGTCATAATTCAAGTATTGTATAATGTAAAAGTGAACGATTATTTATTTGATTACTTTATGTGTATATAAAACAATTTAAGAGTTCTTAATAATAAATGTTATTAATAATAGAATATATATATCATAGATTGGAATAATTTAAAAATGGTGTATAAGTATAAAAAGTCAGACAAACTATTAAACCAAAAGATATGCACTTTTAGTAGAGAAATAAACGTTATTATAAAATTAGAAAGGTCCGGTAATGATATAATGGGGATATTTATTCATATGTTATGAGTTATTGTTAATCTGGTATAATAATTATAATAAAAAACCAATTATAGATAAATATATAAGAACATACCATGCTGTATTTATGTATACCCTTACAAAAAAATTGTATAGATAAATGTGTTAGGAAGTGTATTGTATATAAGAAAATGTTATGTTAAGCTAATTTGATTAATTTGAATGCAAAATATAAACAATATTACCATATAACTTTTTTTCTTTTTATAATTATATGTGTAATAATATTAAATTGTATGAATATAACTGATTAAATTATTTCAATATTATTAATATTATTTTCATAGTTTTTATATATAGTATGATAATTTTTAATATTACTACACTTAAACGAAATAAATTTTTTTTTTTTTATTTTATTATTTTTGTACGTGTCACCTCTGAGAAAATTACTACGGCATAATGTACATAATAAAAGAGTAACACATTCTAAAATATTCTAATAAATGAATTAAATACAATGATAAAAAAATTTTTACAAGCATGTTATAATATGTTTTCTTCATTACAATAATATAATTTATATATATATATATTAAATTTAGAATCTTATTTAAAGTTATATTTTACGTTTATTCTACATCCGAAGTTCCAATAAACTATTAAAAATTATTACTAATTATATATGTTTAATATTATGCTTACGTGTTGCATATGTAGTATTAAATTTATAAGTAATAAATTTATTTTATTAGTCCGTAATTAAAGAATAAACCACTTTTCAATTAATTTTTTATTCGTAATTTATCCATAATTTCTAAATTTAAATATATATGTAACCATATATTGTTGTTATAAATGTGTATATTATAGGAACATTAAATATATTATATGTTTTTAAGGATACCTTCTTATTTTTTTAACAATGCCTTATATTATCTTTTCATAATTCGTAATCATAAGTTCATTTTTTTAGAGTTTATTTTTTCAGGTTTTATGTTTCTGGGTTATGGGTTTATATTATATGTTAGTGTTTAGTTTTTAATCATAATGCTTCAGCATTTTCTATTTAGTGTTTTTTATTTACATATTTATGTATATTCCTTTTTCAATATTGACTCTTCAATATAAGGAATAAGTTTATAATATTATAATGTATAGTTATTTTATATATTTAACATTATAGTTTTTTTTGTAACTATAATTTTTTTCTCTTAACGATTATTAAATATATTTTTTTTATTTTCATGCACTATATTTTCTATAAAATTTACTAATGTGAATTATTTTTATAGTTATTACAATTATATATTTCTGGTCTGATTAATTATTTGTATATTGATATTTTAGATTGATTTATATTTTATAATATATATTCAATAATTTGCATTCTGTAAATAATATTCATGGATTATTAAGTGATATTATTTTTTTTTTAAATAATATTATTCCATATTAAATCAAAATTATTATAAACTAAAGATATTGCTAATATATAGTAATATATTAAAGAAGTATTAAATTTATTTAACTACTAGTTTATACCTGTTTTCTAATAAAAAATCAATATTATGAAAGTGCGATAATTTTTACATTAATTAAAACTTATATAATTGTTTTATTATATAATATCCATTTTTTATATGAAACATTTATTACCGACTTTATATATTAATAAATATACTGCTCTGTCAGGAATTTTTTTTTTTTCATAAATGTTTAGATATATATTTTTCTCAATTTTATACATTTGTAATTGATATAATTATTAAAAATTCACGTATATGTCATTCAGGATTTAATGTGTACATTAAATCAAAGAATTAATGAAAAAAAAAAAAATATATTGTTCGTCATAATTATGTTATATTAGTATTATTAATTTTTATTTATTCTTAATTTCATATAAATAATGGGGTTTTATTTATTACGCCATTTTTATTTTTTTCTTTTTCTGATTTTTAAATTAAAAATATAATAATATTTTTTAAATAGATGTACATCATAATAGAAGCTATAATATATTAATAAAACGTACTTTGCATGAATAATAGAAACTGAAAAAAAAAATATATTCATTCATTATATATTCTAATTTTTTATATATATTAATAATAATTCTATAATATTTATTTTATATGTATAATTTTTATTAATACATTAAGAATTAATTAATTTTATAAAGGTATCTTTAAACAATGTCAAACTATTTAATGCTATATATTTATATCCATTGATATTATTTTATTTAATTATTTATGTAACAATCTCTTAACATAAAAAAAAATTATATTTTTAATATGTACAAATAAATTATATATAAATTTTATTAAAAAATAATTTCATAAGATTTATGACATGCAGAATTATATGACATGGATAAATCTTATATAGTATTTGCATGTTCATTGTCATATATAAGTTAAATGAATTAATCAAACTGGTTATATTGCCTTCATAATAATATTTTGAAATAATAAAAAAATATAAAGATAAGCTATAAATGTAAAATTTTTCAGGAAATAATGTTTATAATTAAAATTATATATTCAATCATTATGCATAATGTTTTTTCACATTATTAAAAGTTATATGAGACAAATATACTAACCAAAAAATGATATAACGAAATAATACAAATGTACTCATTATATATATATAGCTTATACATATATTTTCATTTCTACTTGTCTTTTATATAATATATGTTCCTTCTTATATATGCAAAAATGGATTTATACACATGATGTAATGGTAAAGTATATACAATTAAATGTATAAATAATAAACCCTTCATAAATAAAATTTTCATAATTAATGAATACGTTGTATTTTCATACTGATATTATCACTTAAAAAAAAATTATATTATTGTACAAATGTATTTATAGTATTATTTAAATATCTATTATTTATGAAAAATATATAATTAAATTCAGTGGGATACATTAAATTGTTATCATGGAAGTAATTATATGAATATATCTTCCTGTTATATATGCATAAAATTATCTAAAATATGTAACATACATATTAAATAAATATTATATTTATTTAGATTATTATGTTCAATACTTAATTTCTTTTGTTCAACATTGTTTTTAACAAATACAAAGGAATACATTATAATTATAACGTGGAATGTATAATGATTTGTCTTGGATGGTCTTATACGTTGCTCTAAGAAATTTATTTTGTGATATGTTTCATTTATTAGCTTCTTTATAATATACATCATTATTAGGATATATTTTCCTGCTCAACAATTATATTTAAATAGATCTTATTTCTTGTCAAATAATAATCATTTTTATAATTTATTATATATATTATTCAATGCCAATGAATTCATACGCTTTTATAGCACCTTTTTAAGACTATTGTACTGAGTTATATAATATATTGTGTTTATTTTTAATTTTATTTTTACGTGACTCTTCAAATAAATTCATTAATTCATAATGTTTTTTATATTTTCTATTCCGTATATTTTTTAACTTTCTTTTCCTTGGTCGTAAGTATGAACTACAAGCAGTATACTGATATTTAAGAAAAAATATGACATATACATGATTAATGCATTAATTATATATTTATTATAAAAGATATCATAAATATTTACAGAATAAATATTTAATTAATTAAATTTATTTTTAACATTATACAAGATGAAAATAATTATTAATATTGCAAAAAATAAAAAACCCGTGCTTGTCCACGTCACCGCAGATGCAGTATCTCCTGATAATTCTTCTACATTCGTCCTGCATTTTGGAGGTATCATCAAAGAACAATTCGATTTTACTTCTTCACATGTGTAAGTATTTTTGTCTTGCAAATAGGTATGAAAATCACATTTGAATTTTTCCAATTCGTCCTCAATAGTATTGTTAAACTTATTATTTTTTTCTTTATATTTATTAATAATTTCTTCATATTTTTTTACACATGAGTAAAAGTAATTGTCCTTGTGCTTGTTCTGGTTTTTAAATTCTTTAAAATCCTTATATAATTCATCAAACAGATTGAACATATCATATACATTATCATCCATTAATGATACATATTCTTTACATACATCAAGTCCGTTTACGCCTGTATTTTTGTATGATTTTATGAGTTCTTCGTGAACCTTATCAAACCTCTGAAAATTAGGATTTTTATTCTTTACTTCACGTTTTAGTTCATAGATAAAAAAATTACAATATGGTTTTCTATCATATTCGCTTTTATCCTTTATTTCATGTAAATAACGAACAAGATATTGACAAGGTGGTGTAAAATTAGTCCAGTAATTTTTGCTTTTATGTTGAAAAGTGTTATTAAATGCATTGCATGAGGCCCCTATTTGACCATTTACAGCACTTGAATAATGTGGTGAGAAACCTTATTATACAATTCCTTACCTTTGGTAAATATATCCATACAAGATAACTAAGAGTGAAATATATTGTAAATATAAAAGTGTTTATTTATAAGAAAATTTTTTTGTTTTATTTTTCTAAATAAGATACTTTAAAACATAGTAGTATGAATTATAGTTTTAATAATATATAGAAACTTACTTCAGCTTTCGCGACTTGGCTATTACCCATTACATTTGCTAACTAATACGAAAATAAAATTATACTGATTAATATAATTTATAATGTGTTCAAAATATTACAATTATTATTATATATTACATGTATTATTCTTATTAATTTATAAATATAATATAACTCTTAAAGTTTCACCCTTATATATTAAAATTTTATAGCATTATTTGTTCCTATAACCTAAAAGATATATTATTCGTATATAGGATTAAATCATAGTATTTTAGAATTTCGGTTTTAAATTTTTTGTTTAGTGTTTTTTATATATGTAATCTGAATCAAGTTTTATATATTTATAATCAGTATAATGATATATGTATATAAGATTTCTATATGAGCATATATTCTTATTTATATTATTTATTTTTGAATTAATATAATGTGTAAATACACTATTTATATTTTATTAATAATGTGTATATTATTAATATATATTTCATATTTTTATTTTATCCCTATTATATATTATATATGTAAATTTTCTTTCAATATTCGATATTGATTATAATATATAATATTTTTAATTTTCACATAATATGATTGTAAGACGTATACTTATAAACATAGAATTAATTATTTTTTTATTTTATTAAATGATTTGTACCAGTTAATTCTATAAAGTTTAGATTTATTATACCATTACATTTTGACCTTTTTATTAAGCGCATTTTAATATTTTTTACCTTATTCGAAAGATATATTTTTTTTTAGTTCTCTAAATGATATACTTATGCACTATTATTGCTCAAATCTCTTGGGGGGGAAAAAAAAATATGAGTTATATTATACATTTACATAATAACCCATATTTATTTATGCAAAAATGTATGTACGTATGTATGTATATATGTTTGTTTATATAATTCTATTATATAGTTCAATATTAATTAATAAATATATTTACATAATTGTTCTAAAAAAACAATTTTACTATTTATAGTTATATATATGGCATTAATTATTTATTATTTATATATATATAAATGCACTTTTTTCGAAAAAGAATCGTTGATATACTTTTTAAACACATATTGAATTATGAAATAAAATGTTCCTTGGATATTATTATATATTTCATTTTTTATTTATATTGATATGAAATACATGTGTAAAAATTTATTATTATAAAATATGCATAATTTTACATGAGGTAGGTAATTATTTTGATATATATTATAATTATATTTGTACCACAAATTAACAAGGAAACAAAATTTATGCAGTATAAAATTGTTAACATTATATGTAACATTTAAAACTAAAGATAAACGAAAATATTTTTTATGTATTAAAATTTAAAATAGTGTTACATTACATATTTTTGATAAAAAAAGTGTTTTGCTATATTCATAGTTTTTTCTGTATATGCATGTACATTGGGGATATTTTCAATATATTTATTGTGTTGTTAAAAAGGAAGCTTCTAATTCATTAATATATCTTCCAAAGAATTCAACAAATAATATTTTCTTAAAATTGATATATTTTTTGAAAGATTAATTATAAGGTATATTTTTTTATAAAGGAAACATGTACATATAAATTGAATACAATTTTTTTTATTGTTCATAAAAACAAAACCTTTGTCCCTGATATTTTATTTCTTATATAAGATAATTCAAAATTTTATAAATATCATATATTTAATTTTTAGGAACAATAAGATTTTGAAAGTTTTTAATGAGTTACTATGATTTTATTGAATCTACGTATCTTCTTAGACAGTATTATTCGGAAAACATCATATATAATAGGGATTATATATAAATGTTTTAATATTTAGTTTGTACACATTTGTATATAACAAAATATAAAAAATGTTTTCAACTTGTTCTCTCATGATTATGACAATCTACAGCATAATACATAAAATAAGTTGTTTTTTTATGGGTAGATAATTTTGTATTGTAAAATGAAAAAGACAATTTTTTTAATGATTTAACTTGTTCTATGAATAAATTATTTCACATAATGAAAGTATTAGATGATTATGTAAGAACGTAGTTTTCATAATAATTTGAAAAGTGTTATAAATAATACTCAGGGTATGGGGATTAGAATTTATGGTTCAGGTTTCATTATTTAGGTTTAATGTTTCAGTTTTAGAGTTAATGTTTCATGTTTTGGCTTTATGTTCTATGGATTTATGATTTTTGATTTATCTTTAAATGTTCATGATTTAGGTTAGTATTTTATGATTTATGGAAATGGTATACTTTTTTGTTTCTGGTTTTATGTTATGTTGTGTTATATATTTGTGTTTATATTTGTTGTAAATTTCTATTTTTATAATAATATTGGATATATTTAAACGTTCTTTTTTATTTTAATTATTTTATTTTGTCTCATTAAATGGCTTTATAATGATTTATTAAATACACAAGTAAATTCATAGTATCCTACATATAATTATAATTTATAGTTATTTTAAATAATAGTTTAAATATATTTTTATTTAATCATATTATTATTGGGTGTTTAAGAAATTAGAATTTTTTATTTGGTTTTTATATAGAAAATGTATATCATTGATTTCTATTTTAATTTATATTTCTTTATTTAGAATCGTTTATTATAAATTTTTTTTAATGTAATTTTCAGTCTTTATTTATATTTTAATATGCCTATATATATATAACCTTATTCATGATCATAATTCCCGTCAATACAAACATTTCTGAATGCTCCTATATTTTCCTTATTAAAAACATGGCCACCCTTATATTATTCATTCAGATAAAAATTATCTATTTAATGCTTATAATTCCTATTATATAAAATGAATACAATACCATAATGAATAGATAAAATCAAAATAAAACCTCCTGCATATGAAAAACTTGTCCCGTCCCCTCCTCGTTTAGGACGACATTCATTTTTATTCTCAGTACTATTTTTATTACCGTTAATGTCACTATCATTCATGTTCTTTTGTTTTTCAGATAATTTCGTAACTTGTCCTTAATATAATTTCTTTTTTTGTTTTTCTATATAACCTAGGAATTCTTTTGTCCACCAGATGTACTATCAATAACAGGTGCATCTATTATATTATATACTTTTTTTCCCTAATTTATTAATTTTATTTTCAGAATAATTTAATAAACATTATATTTTACTTAAATGATCTTCTAGGATATTAATTATATTAT